TAGTATTAATAAGATTACTAACGTCCGTATTGCTATTATCTTTTTATTACTAATAGTATTATTAGTACTGGTATTAGTAGTAGTAGTAGTAGTAGTAGTATGAATAATAATATTACTAGTGTTGATGTTATTGCCATTATGAAGGATAATAGTATTACTACTAAGTAGTACCATTCGTATTACTATTCGGATTATCGTTGCTAATAGTATTATTGGTAGTGGTATAGTGCGTGTTATTCTTATTCGTAGTATTACTATTCGCCTTGGTATTCATAGTACTACTATTAAAAATCGTCATATCAGTAGTGGTCTCGGTGTTCGTACCATTAGTTCTAGTATTAGTAATGTGTTTCACAATTGTGCTACTCTAACTGGTACTGTTGTTATTACCCGTGTGAAAATTATTTCTTATGAACAACTTCATATTCATGAGTAGGGGTAGTATAATAGTCCTAGTATTGCTACTGGCAAAACATAATGGATAGTAGTATCATTATAAATACTTGGTTTCCTCCTTGTACACCTCCTCCTCCTCCTCCTCCATCCTCCTCCTCCTCCTCTTCCTCCTCCTCCTCCTCCCTCCTCCTTCTCCTCCTCCTCCTCCGCCCTCCTCCTTCTCATCATTCTCCTCTCCTCCCTCCTCCTCCTCCTCCTCCTCCTCCTCCTCCTCCTCCCTCCTCCTCCTCCTCGTCCTCCTCCTCCTCCTGCTCTTCCTCCTCCTCCGCCGCCGCCTCCGCCTCCACACTGTCTTCCTCCTCATCATCCTTCTCGGCCTCCTGTTCCTCCCCCTCCTCCTCCTCTTCCTCCTCCTCCTCCGCCTCCTCCTCCCTCTCCTCCTCCTCCTCCTCCTTCTCCTCCTCCTCTTCCTCCTCCTCCTCCCCTCCTCCTCCTCCTCCTTCTCCTCCTCCCTCCGCCTCCTCCTCCTCCTCCTCCTCCTCCTCCTCATCCTCCCCCCCTCCTCCTCATCCTCCTCCTCCTCCTCCCTCCTCCTCCTCCTCATTCTCCTCATCCTCGTCCTCCTCCTCCGCCTCTTCCTCCTCCTCTCTCCTCCCCTCCTCCTTCTCCTCCTCCTCCTACTCCTCCTCCTCCTCCTCCTCCTCCTCATCCTCATTCTCTTTCTCCCCCTCCTCCTCCTCCTCCTCCTCCTCCTCCTCCTCCTCCTCCTCCTCCTCCTCCTCCTCCTCCTCCTACTCTCCTCCTTCTCCTCCTCCTCCTCCTCCTCGTCCTCCTCCTCATCCTCGTCCTCCTCCTCCTCCTCCTCCTCCTCCTCCTCCTCCTCCTCCTCCTCCTCCTCATCTTCCTCATCGTCCTCCTCCTCCTCCTCCTCCTCCTCCTCCTCGTCCTCTTCCTCCTCCTCCTCCTCCTCCTCCTCCTCCTCCTCCTCCTCCTCCGCTTCTTCCCTCCTCCTCCTCCTACTCCTCCTCCTCCTCAACCTCATCATCATCATCATCATCATCATCATCATCATCATCATCATCATCATCATCATCATCATCATCAGCAGCATCATCATCAGCAGCATCATCATCAGCATCATCATCAGCAGCACCATCATCATCAGCATCCTCATCAGCAGCAGCAACATCCTCATCATCATCATCATCATCGTCATCATCATCAGCAGCATCAGCACCAGCATCATCATCATCATCATCATCAGCATCATCATCACCATCAGCGTCAGCATCATCATCATCATCATCATCATCATCATCATCATCATCATCAGCATCATCATCAGCATCAGCATCATCATCATCAGCATCATCAGCATCATCAGCATCATCATCATCACCATCAGCATCAACAGCATCAGCATCATCAGCAGCATCCAGCATCATCATCATCATCAGCAGCATCAGCACCATCGTCGTCATCATCATCATCATCACCACCATCATCATCATCATCATCATCATCATCAGCATGAGCATCAGCATCACCATCACCATCATCACCATCATCATCATCCTCATCCTGATCTTCATCCTCATCCTCATCCTCATCCTCCTGCTCCTCCTCCTCCTCCTCCTGTCCATCGTCAGACCATTCGAAGCCTCCTCATGTTTGTACGCAAGCGTTTTGCAGTTGGTCCTGACGTCGAGGAAAAAATGTCGATCAGCATCATCGTCGTCATCATCATCATCAGCATCAGCATCAGCATCAGCGTCAGCATCATCATCATCAGCAGCAGCATCCTCAGCATCATCAGCAGCATCAGCAACATAATCAGCAACAACATCAGCATCAGCATCATCGCCATCAGCCGCATCATCACCATCACCAGCATCACCATCATCGTCAGCATAATCATCAGCATCATCATCAGCAGCATCATAAGCAATATCGTCAGTAGCATCAGCATCAGCATCAGCATGATCATCAGCATCATCATCATCATCATCACCACCAACATCATCATCAGCATCATCATCAACAACAGCATCACCAGCAGCATCATACTTATCAGCAGCATCACCATCAGCGTCACCATCCTCATCAGCATCATCATCAGCATTACCATCATCATCATCATAATCATCAGCATCATCATCAGCAGCATCATCATCATCAGCATCATCATCAGCAGCATCATCATCATCATCAGCATCCTCATCTGCAGCAGCAACATCCTCATCATCATCATCATCATCATCGTCATCATCATCAGCAGCATCAGCACCAGCATCATCATCATCATCATCATCATCATCATCATCATCATCATCATAATCAGCATCATCAGCAGCAGTATCGTCCTCATCAGCATCAGCATCAGCATTAGCATCAGCATCAGCATCACCATCATAATCATAATCATCAGCATCAGCATCAGCATCAGCATCATCATCAGCATCATCATCAGCCTCATCATCATCAGCACCATCATCATCAGCAACTGCATCAACATCAACATCATCAGCATTAGCATCCTCATCATCAGCATCATCAGCATCGGCATCATCATCAGCACCAGCATCATCATCAACAATACCAACAGCATCAGCAGCAGCACCAGCATCATCATAATCATCAACATCATCATCTTAGTCATCATCATCATCACCATCATTAGCATCATCGTCGTCAGCATCCGCATCAGCATAATCACCAGCATCATCAACATTAGCATCACTACCAAAATAATCAGCAGCATCATCACCACCAGCATCATCATCAGCAGCAGCATCATCATCGCTATTGCCATCGGCATCGTCATCATCAGCCTCCTTATCATCATCATCGCCTTAACCATTATCATCATCATCATCATCATCAGCAGCAGCAGCATCATCACCACCATCATAATCAGCATCATTGTCGGCATCATCGTCATCATCACAAGCTGCAGCAGCATCATCATTCGGCTTCTCCTCCTCCTCCTCCTCCTCCTCCTCCTCCTTCTGCTCCTCCTGCCCCTCCTCCTCCCCATCCTCCTCCTTCTGACGCACCGACGAGATGACGGCGAAGAGTCCGCCAGACGCCACCCTCCCCCCTCTCCTCATCCTTCTACTCCTTCGCCTCCTCCTCCTCCTCTTCCTCCTCCTCCTCTTCCTCCTCCTCCTGCTCCTCCTCCACCTCCTCCTCCTCCTCCTCCTCCTCCTCCTCCTCCTCTCCTCCTCCTCCTCTCCTCCTCCTCCTCCTCCTCCTCCCCCCCCGCGTTGTCCTCCTCCTCCTCCTCCTCCTCCTCCTCCTCCTCCTCCTCCTCCTCCTCCTCTCCTCTCTCCTCCTCCTCGCTCCTCTCCTCCTCCTCCTGCTCCTCCTCCTCCTCCTCCTCCTCCTCCTCTCCTCCTCCTCCTCCTCCTCCTCCTCCTCCTCCTCCTCCTCCCTCCTCCTCCCCTCCTCCTCCTCCCTCCTCTCTCCTCCTCCTCCTCCTCCTCCTCCTCCTCCTCCTCCTCCTTCTCCTCCCTCCTCTCCTCCTCCTCCTCTCCTCCTCCCTCCTTTCCCTCCTCCTCCTCCTCCTCCTCCTCCTCCTCCTCCTCCTCCTCCGCTCCTCCTCCACCTCCCCCTCGTTGTCCTCCTCCTCCTCCTCCTCCTCCTCCTCCTCTTCTTCTTATTCTTCTTCTTCTTCTTCTTCTTCTTCTTCTTCTTCTTTCTTCTTCTTTTTCTTATTTTTCTTCTTCTTAGTCTTCTTCTTCTTCTTCTTCTTCTTCTTATTATTCTTCTTCTTATTCTTCTTCTTCTTCTTATTATTATTATTATTCTTCTTATTCTTCTTCTTTTTCTTCTTCTTCTTCTTCTTCTCTTCTTATTCTTCTTCTTCTTCTTCTTCTTCTTCTTCTTCTTCTTCTTCTTATTATTCTTCTTCTTCTTCTTCTTCTTCTTCTTATTCTTCTTATTATTCTTCTTCTTCTTCTTCTTATTCTTCTTCTTCTTCTTATTCTTCTTCTTCTTCTTCTTCTTTTTCTTCTTCTTCTTCTTCTTCTTCTTCTTCTTCTTCTTCTTCTTCTTCTTATGCTTATTATTATTATTATTCTTCTTCTTTTTCTTCTTCTTCTTCTTCTTCTTCCTCCTCCTCCTCCTCCTCCTCCTCCTCCTCCTCCTCCTCCTCATCATCATCATCATCATCATCATCATCATCATCGTCATCATCATTCTCCCCCTTGCGGCGATGTGCGAATATGTGCGGCAACACTTGGCCGTGCCCTCGCGGGCGCGAGTGCACGGCCACGAGCAGTGACATGTGCGGGCGAGGACCTACTAAGAACGAGAGGGGTCGACAAGGGCGCAACGCGAGGGCGGCGGCCGAATAAGAACGCGGGGGGTCTTGAAAAATGTCGGGGGTCTGAGAAGCCTTCCCGGAAGCCCCTGGGCCCTCTAAAAAGCCCCGCAGTTTTCTAAACAAGCCCCCCCCCCGCCACCCAAGAAGACCGCCCCCCCTCGCGCCCCACTCCTTTGCGGGGTCCGCCGAGCGATCATCCCCTCCGTCCTCCATCTGCTCCTGGCCCCCGCCCTCCTTGTCAGAACTCCCAACCCCAGGCAAAACCCGACCGGCGCGCCTCGGCTTCTGCCAGGGCGGGGGCGCAAGACGCCCTGCTCGCGCTCGAGGTCGAAGTGGCAAAGCGGATCTGGCCAGTCCTCGGCTGCAAACAGCGCGCGCGGCCTGCCCACCCCTTTCTCCCGCGATCCCTCCTTCATCCGTGATCCCTCCTTCCCCCATCCCCTGTCCCAGCCCCCGATCCCCCTCACACACCCCCTCTCTCCTCCGGGCTTCTCCCCCGTCTTCTCCCTTGCCTCATCCCTGCTCCCTCCTCTGTGCCTGGCTGGTGCATCTCTGCGACCGCGCTAGCTCGCGCACGTTCGCGCGCACAGCGGCCAGCTACCTTGGCCCGACCGACGAGGACGCAGTGGCGTTGACCGCTGGGCACTTCCCAGCGGGCACGTCAGCGCGAGTCGGTGACTCGGGCGAACGCGGTACCATGGCGACGTCAACAACAGCACATACGGCGATGATAGTTGCGACGATGGTGACGATGATGACGATGACGACGGAAAGGCCGATGGCGGCGCCGAGGCTGAACGCGCCAGCGACGAGAACGGCGCGTCCTCGCGTCGGTGATGACGGTCTTTGAACGAGTTCGACACGCGGGCGCGGCGGACGCGCGCGAGTGGCCCGCATCGTATTATTCAGCAGGGATCGCGCCCCGCCCCCCCCCAACCAGCACGCGCGCAAGGGCGTTCAAAGGATTTGACATGTGGCGCCAGAAGCCCAGTTGGTCGAATGTGATGGAAGTGAAGAGGGGGGAAAATAAAAAACAACAAACTCGCCAGAACGCGCACAAAAAATGGGAAAACTGATGCTGAAAATTCATGCGTGTTTTGTACGCTTTCGGAACAGTCGATTTCAAAATCCTCCCGAAACCAAAAAGTGTTTGAAGGATTTTGGCACGCGCGGACGGCGCGCGCGCGAACTTCGCCCCATGCGTGCAAAGGGTCCTTGCGGCAGCAGGCGCTCAGTGGCGTTCGCACAATGTCGACATCCGCGCGCGAGAGGCACGGCTGTCGAATCTGATGGATGAACAGGTTGAAAAACCTTCGCTGTCTGAAGAGGGAACTCGAGAGGGCGAGCGCGCAAACCTCATTTTTCGAAAACTGGCACCGCAAAAACAAGTGCGCCTTAAATGTGTTCGGGACACTCGTTGTTGAAATCCTCCCGACACCCAGAGTGCTCGAAGGATGTCGGCACGCGCGCGCGGCGGCGCGCTCGCGTAGAATTCGCCCCGTGCTTCGCAAGGGGCTCTCGCGACAGCGCGCGCGCAATGGCGCCCGGACGAGGTCGACATCCGCGCGCGAGAGTTGCGTTTGGCAGCACTTGTCACACATGTTGAAAATTCGCAAGTGCACGAGCGCATGCTGTTTTGAACTACCCCGCTGCGAAGCCACTGGTTTGCCATTGTTTTCGGGGCACTGGATTCTGAAACCCTTCCGCAACACTGGGTGATTGAAGGATTTCGGCGCGCGACGACGCGCGCGCTTCGCCCGATGTTGCGCAAGGGATCACTGGAAACTGCCGACGTTACAAAACGAGCGCACGCGCACAGAAGTTTCTGCAGAGGGCGCGGGGGCGTCGACAAGGGACTGCCTGGGGCGGCGTGAACTCATGCGCGGGATGGACGAAAGCGCGGAATCATAAACGAAACACCGCACGGAAAGTGCAGCGTCAAGACCAGGGAGGGGGAGGGGGAGGTAGATCCCAATACCTCCCCAGAAAGCAGAATCTTTGTTGCACAACCGATGCGGCGCAAGATATGCGTAGTGCAACGCACGCGGCGCAGTGCATACGGCGCGCAATCTACGCGGCGCATTCGACGCGGCGCAGCACGCGAGGCACAATTCACCCAAAGCTGATAACACCACTGCTCGCGCAACCATCCCGCCCACCCACCAGCAACTTGGTTTGAAGAAAAACACGTGGCGGCGATTCCGACGACTGCTCGGCGCTGGCCGTCGCATCGACGTTGCCGCGCTAGCACGTCAGCTCGCGCACAAGACGGCAGGCTGATCCGACGCGACAGACGCGGCCGCGGCGACGCTGGCCACAGGTCACTTCCCAGCACGTCTCGCAGGCCGCGCCGACGCGCGGGCACTTGAGCGCGGAACGGTGACTCGGACGGGCGCGGCATCATGGCGACGTCGGCAACGGCAGCCACGATGGCGGTAGTAACGATGCCGGCGACGACGATGTCAATGACGACGGCAAGGCCAATGGCGGCGCCGACGCTGATCACGCCGACGACGACGATGGCGCGCTCGCGTCGGCGACGAGGGTTGCGACAAGGACTTCGATACGCGCGCGCCCCCGACGCGCGCGCCTGGCCCGCATGGCAGTTTTCAACAAGGACGGCGCCACCCCACCACCCCCCAGCACGAGCGCGCAACGGCGCTCAAATGACTTCGACACGCGCTCGCGAGAGGCCCGCGCAGTTGCCCATGATAAACACGCTGAGAAAAATCATGGCGTTCCTAAGAATTTGCAAGAGCGCGAGCGCATGAATTTTGGCAATGCCAAACCACTGGCGGCTTGTTCTGTTTTCTGGGCACTCGAAGTTGAGCCCCTTGAAAACTGAGGTTTGCGAAGGCTTTCGGTACGCGCGCACGGCGACGCGCGCGCGCACTTCGTCTCGCGCTGTTGCACGGGACTCGCGCGACAGCACGCGCGCACGGTCGCGGGACTGATGTCGACGCGCGCGCGCGAAAGGCACGCTTCGCAGCAGTCAATGAAGTCGTTGATCATCATGCGCTTTCAATAACTCGCAGGACCCCGAGCGCAGGATCTTGGAACCTTCTCTGCGAAGCCATTCGCATGTCAGGTATATTTCGGGTCATGCGATGTTGAAGCAGTTGCGAAACCTGCTGGTTAAAACGATGTTTGCATGCGCGCGCGACGACGCCTCGTTTGCACCTCGCCTCAGCTTTTGCACCAGATTTCTGAAAACTGCTACGTCGTGGTAAACGAGGGCACTCGCACAATATTTCGCAACAGGGATGATGGGCGGGGGCCTATAAATGGACTGCCTGAAACGGCGCGAATTCGCACTTTGGACGGACGGGCTCGCAAAAATCAGACACGAAAACAAAACGCGAAGGCGCGCGGTCAAGCTCGGGGGCCCGGGGGGGGGCGGGGAGGGGGTAGATCCTCAGATTCGCTTAGAAGAGAAAACCTACGTTGCACAATTTTTGTCGCGCATCTCACGCGGGGTTTTCCACTGGGAAAAACTCGGCGTCGTCAATTCCACTGCCCGCGCAACATCTTGCCCACCCACCCGCGACTTGGTTTGAAAGACCCACGCGGCGGCGATTGCGATGAGTGCTCGGCGTGGGCTGGCGCATCGCCGCGGCCGCGCTAGCCCGCGCATGCTCGCGCGCGCAGTGGTCGGATATTTTGGCGCGACCGACGCGGCCGCGGCGGCGCTGACCGCCGGGCCCTTCCCAGCGGGCACTTCAGCGCGAGCCGGCACCTCGGGCAAGCGCGGCATCATGGCAACGTCAACAACGGCGCGCACGACGGAGAGAGATGGTGACGATGGTGAGATTGATGACGATGACGACGGCGCGGCCAATGACGGCGCCGATAATTGCCACGCCGACGACGACAACGGCAACCTCGCGTCCGCGGCGGAGGTCTCGCGGGGACTTCGACGCGCGCGAGCGGCCCGCGCGGCATCACGCGACAGGAATCGCCCCCCCCCCCCATGCGCGCGCACGCGGGCATTGGGATGATTTCGGCGCGCGGCGCGAGAGGCTCGGTTGATCAAATTTGATGAACAGGGTGAGACATTTGTTTTCTTAGGGATTCGCGAGGGCGCGCGCGCGCGACTTCCTGAAAACTGGCGCGGCTAACCCACGCGCGCGCTACATGCGTTCGGGGCACTCGACGTTGAAATGCCCCCGAAACCCAGAGTTTTCGATGCATTTCGGCACGCGCGCGAGACGGCGCGCTCGCATGCACTTCGCCCCACGCGCTGCACGGGGCCCTCGCGACAGCGCGCGCGCAATGGCGCCCGAACGACGTCGACATGAGACACGTTTGACAGCACGTGGTGGAACCTTGATTTCTATGAATGAAAATATTGTTGCCTCAAGAACTCGCCAGAGCCCGCGCGCGGGCCCTCCTGGGAATTCCCCCCTCGAAACCATTGATTATTGCGCACATCTGTTCCGGGGCACTCGGCTTCGAAATCACGGCGGAACCTACGGGTTCTGAAGGATGTCAGCACGCGCGCGCGACGTCGCGCGCGCGCCGTTCGCCCCCATTTTTGGCTCGGGGGCTTGGAAACTGCTGAGCGTTATAAACGAATGCGCGCGCGCCGCACCCGCTGCAGAAGATACAAGAGGGTGGATCCGGGCCTGCGCGGGACGGCATGAATTCAGATCCGGGCTAGATGGGCGCGCAGAAGCACACACGAAACAAGAACATGCGAAGGGATAATGTCAAGTCTGGGGGGGGAGATCCGAATGCCCTTTCCGACGAGAATATACGTGGTGCAGACTACGTGGTGCAATATATGTGGCGCTGTATACGTTGGCAGTCTATACTCCGCGGTAGACGCGGTGCAATCTACGTTGCGCTGTCTACGCAGCGCAATCTGCGCACTGCAATCGACGCGGCGCAATCGGTCTGCACAAATGAGTTGGCAGACCCCATGCTCCTGCTGACATCCCACCCACCCACCCACCCGCAACTTGGTTTGCAAAACCAAGCGGCGCGAATGCGATGAGTGCATGGCGTTGGCCGGTGCATCTCTGCTGCCGCACAAGCCCGCGAACGCTCGCGCGCCCAGCGGCCGGCCAGTCTGACGCGGCCGACGCGGCCGCGGCGGCGCCGACCGCCGGGCCCTTCCCGGCGGGCACTTCAGCGCGAGTCGGTGACCTGGGCGGGCACGGCATCATGGCGACGCCGACAACGGCAGACACGAGAATGAGAACAGCGACGGCGGTGACGACGGCAAGACCAATGACGGCGCCGACGCTGATCGCGCCCGCCGACAACGATGACGATGTCATCGCGTCAGGGACATAGATTCTCGACGTTCGAAGGGGTTCGACATGCGCTCGCGGCCGACGCGCGCAAGTGACCAGCGCGGTAATGTTCGACGCGGATTGCCCCCCCCCTTCCCCCCCCGGCACGCGCGCCAGGGCGCTCGAATCAGTTCGACGCGTGGCGCGAGAGGCCTGCCGGGTAAAGTGCGGCGAAGCTGTCTCGAAAGACCTAGGATTGCCCTTGCGAGTTCGCAAGACCGCGAGCGCGGGCATTTCTGAGAACTGATGTTACAAAACCGAGTGTGTTTATACGTGTTCGGGACAATTGCCCTCAAATCATCCCGACACCCAAGCTGTCTGAACGATGCCGGCATGCGCGCGCCACGACGCGCGCGCGCACCACGTCGCCACATATGTTGCAAGGGGTTCTCCCGACAGCACGCGCGCAAAGGCGTTCGAGCGATTTCGACGCGCGCGCGAGCGGCCCGTTTGGTAGAATGTCAAGAATTCGCAAGAGCGCGGGCGCGAGCATTTTGTTAAACCCTTGTTGCGATACCAAGTGCGTTTTATATGTTTTCGGGACACTCGATTTTGAAATGTTTCCGGCACCCAAAGTTTTCCAAGGATTCTGGCACGCGCGCGACGACGCGCGCGTGTGCACTTCTTCCCACTGCTGCAAAGGGAAATTGAAAACTGATGATTGTTGATATCAGCCAGCGTCGACTCCAAATCAAGGAATCCGAGGAACCAAGCATGCTTGGAATCCACAACTCAGCAAGCAAGCGTGCAAGCAAGCGGACAAGCAAGCAAGCAAGCCAGCAGGCAAGCGTGCAAGCGCGCAAGCAAGCAAGCAAGCAAGCAAGCAAGCAGGCATAGGCATAGGCGTAGGCATAAGAGTTAGCGGGGAGGCATAGGCACAGCATAGGCATAGCCCTCGGAATTAGGGGGAGCGTAGGAATGCGGGGGGGCAACGGACCAATTAGTAGGGTTTGAGCTAAGACTCCTATAAGGCAAGCCGATTTGGAGAATAAACGAGTGCGCGGATAAGAGCGCTTGCAAAAAGGAGGCGGAGGGCGGAGAACTCTTGTTGGGCTAGGACGGTACGAATTCATATCCAGGATCGACGATGGGGCAGAATCATAGTTAAATTGCATTACGAAGGGTGGACAATTAACACAAGGGGTAGATCATAATGTAGCTTTAGAGAGGAAGAAGAGAGAGAACAAAAACAAAATCCCCCTGCCGAGCCTGAAGTCGTCAAGGCCACTGCTCGCGAGATCGTTCGACCCACCAGCCCGCAACTTAGTTTGCAAAACTTATGCGGGGGCGATTCCGATGATTGCTTGACGCTGGCTGGCGCATCGCTGCGGCCGCGCTAGCGAGCGGGCTCGCGCGCAGAGAGCGGCCAGCTAGTCTGGCGCGAACAACACGGCCGCGGTGGCGCTGACTTGTGGAGAATTCCCAGCGCATATCGCAGGCCGCGCTGACGCACGGGCTTTTCAATGCGACTCGATGGTTCGGACAGGTGCGGTACCATGGCGACGTGGACAACGGAAGACACGACAGTGATAATGGCGATTCTGGCGGCGACGAACACGATGACGACGGCAAGGCCACTGGCGGCGCCGATGCTGATCACGCCGATGACGATGATGGTGTCCCCGTGTCGGTGACGAAAGTTGTGGAATGACTTTGACATGCGCGCGCGGCCGACGGGCGCGAGTGGCCCGCATGTAGTTATTTCGAAAAGATCGCCCCCCGTACCCCTAGCACCCGACTGCTTTCGACATGCACGCGCGAGAGGCCCGTTTAGTCGCAGTTGATGATGAAAATGTTTTTCTTCAGAATTCGCAAAAGCACGCGCGCAGACCTCTTTTCAAACACCACGTTGCAAAACAATGTGTTTGATACGTGCTCTCGAGACACTTAATTGCGAAATCCTGACGGGACGTAAGGCTTCAGAAAAGAAGTACGGCATGCGCGCGCGACGACGCGCGCATATGAACTTCGTCAAGTTGTTTGCAAAAAGGGTTCTTGGACACTGATGGGTGTTGATAAACGATTGCGCGCGCATCATAGTAGTTGACATAGATGAGAGGGGGGGTCGATACCGGACTGGTTGGGATGGTAGGAGCTCATATTTAGAATTCCTGGGGGGGAGGACGAGGAGGAGGAGGAGGAGGAGGAGGAGGAGGAGGAGGAGAAGGAGGAGGATGAGGAGGAGGAGGAGGAGGAGGAGGAGGAGGAGGAGGGGGAGGGGGAGGAGGAGGAGGAGGAGGAGGAGGAGGAGGAGGCGCAGTCCATGCGACTACTTAGCCGCCAGACCAACACGCAGGCTCAGACGACGGGCGGAGACGAGGCGGCAACGGGGCGGGACGGCGACCACATAGACGCCAGACCAGCGCTCAGGCACACACGACAAGCGGCGCCGAGGCGGCGACAGCGCAGCGACGGGGACCACGTAGCCGCCAGACCGGCGCACAGGCCCAGCTCCTGAGAAACAAACAACAACAATGCCACAACAACAACAACAACAACAACAGCAGCAGCAGCAGCAACAACAACCACAACCACAACCACAACCACAACCACAACCACAACCACAACAACAACAACAACAACCACAACCACAACCACAACCACAACCACAACCACAACCACAACCACAACCACAACCACAACCACAACCACAACCACAACCACAACCACAACCACAACCACCACAACAACAACAACAACCACAATCACTTTACCCGAACGCTCAGTGTTCTCACCAGTGCCAGGGTTCTCATGCGACGCCAGCCAATACCCCCACTTTGTGGGGGGGCAGTGCAAGCTCTACCAAATATCCACACGACTCTTCGCCACCACCCACACCCAGCTTCCCGCCCTATGACGTTCGGACACTTCACTTCGTGGCCTGCGGACGACCGTGGCTACTACACTGGCGTGGAGTACACACCCACAGAAGTTGTTAAGCCTACGTTCGTACACCCACAGAAGTTCTTAAGCCTTGTTAACCCACAGAAGTTGTTAAGCCTTCCACAGAACATCCGAGGGCGCAACCTATGGCGCAACCGCAAGGGATTGTGGCCCCTGGCAGGCGCGCGAACCCCGTTGCAAGAGCGTGCGAAAGTAGCTCGCGCGAGCTCATGTAACATAAATGTTGGAAAACCATTGGTTTTTTTTTAGGATTCGGACAGCGCGCGCGGGTAGAAATTTTGAAAAGTCGTGCAGGTGTTTTTCGAGGACCTACGGTGCGATTCGTGTGATTTTATGATGCGCGGTGCTAAAATTCTTAAGAAGCCCAATGGTTTTTGGAGATTTCGGCGTGCGCGCGCGAAGAAAAAAACGAATGTGTCCCGCATGGTATTATTTGACAGGGATGATGGCCCTGGCAGGTGCGCAACCGTTGTCGCAGAAGTTCGAAAAAGTTGCTCGCAAAAGCCCGTTTGACAGAAATGTTTAAAAAGTGTTGGGTTTCCTACGAATCCGCAAGAGCGCGCGGGATGAGATTTTGACATTTTTTTGTTGAAAAACCATTGGTTTTTTGATGTTTTTATGTTAAAATCGCTCCGAACACTAAGCTTTTGGAAGGATTTCGTCTTGCGCGCGCGAATGTCCACTTTACCTTATTTTTTGCAAGGGATTCTTGAAATTTGATTATATTAGAACAAGAAATGTCATTTTATAGTGTTTTTTGCAAGGGAAAACGGATTACAACAAAACAACCGGATCTTGATGACATCGTATTACCTGAGGCTTCCTCACGAAAATGATGAAAATGTAGCTGCGGCCTAGGCGGCGCAGGGGGGCCGTGCACCAGGGGCCCCAACAATAATTATTCTTTAGAATTAATAATGTTCAACAACAGCAACAGCAACAGCAACAGCAACAACCACAACCACAACCACAACCACAACCACAACCACAACGACAACAACAACAACAACAACAACAACAACAACAACCAAAACTAAGTGCAAGCACTGTTTTGGGGATCCTCCTCCTCCTCCTACTCCTCCGCCTCCTCCTCCTCGTCCTCCTCCTCCTCATCCTTCTCCTCCTCCTCCGCCTCCGCCTCCTCCTCCTCCTCCTCCTCCGCCTCCTCCTCCGCCTCCGCCTCCTCCTCACCCTCCTACTCACCATCCGCCGTACTCCCCGTCATTCGCTGTCGGGCGCTCTGAACGGAGATGCGCCTAGCTTCCGAATCAAAGAACAGTCAGCGCGGCTCCCCTGCAAGACCTCAAAGAAGCGTGAAGCGAGAAGAAGAGCTGTGACTTCGGGGGCCCAAAAGCGTGCGGTGACAGACCGCGTGGTGACCTCGGAATCCCAAACGACCTCACCGCGCGGTCCGTCATCGCACGGTTTTTGGAGTGGCGCCCTAGGAGGGCCCTCTCCTGGTTCGGTCATTGCTCACCCTCTTGGCTATTCTGCTCCCTCCCCCTGTCTCCCTGGCTCTCTCTCTGGCCGCCAATCAAGAGAAAGAATGACAATCAAGAGAAAGAATGATAAGAGGGAAGAGTAAGTAAAGAGGTAGGGTAAAGGAAAGATGCACCCTTTTCTGACTCCGCTCGGAGCCTTGAGCCAAACGTGCCATGGGAAGCAATGCAATTATGCATGCACCCTCTGCTCGCATCTATGCTACACTGCACTGCTCGCGGTACACATGCTGTCGGAGAGACGCAGCGCGCCCCACCGCGAGCGCTGTTCGCCACGCAGTGCCCGCCGCCTCTCCTACAGAAAAGCTACCCGCCCGTGTTGGGCCGGCTAGTCCTGCCGCCTAGGCAGCACAGCACGTTCACTCACTCACCGGTCTTCCCAATCTGGGAATGTGTCGTCGTATTCTTCTCTCGGCGAGTCGTCGCCTCGACCGGTGTTGTCCAGAATTGCACTGTCTTCCGGAGTCGTCTTGGTGTCAATGATCATCACCTTCTGAATGGCAACTTTCTCCTCAGTCGTCTCAGCAGCTTTCCGCTTCTGGCGCGAGCCGTCCGCAGCTGGCCCTGGGAGGTCCCGATCCTCCCCCTTCGGCTCCTGAGGCCTGGCTTTGCTGCGCGCCGCGCCGCCTCTGGCTCCCTGCCAGGGAGGCACGCCCTGCGCCGCTGCTGGACGCTGCTCCTGGTTCTTCCACGGAGGCGGTGTGTGCGAGCCGGATGCCGGACTGCTCGCTTTCGACTGCGTCGCTTCTGGGCGCCAGTCCTGGCTCCTCCACGGGAACGGAGTGTGCGAACCTGATGCCGGTCTGCTCGCTTTCGACTCCGTCGCTGCCGGATGCTGCTCCCGGTTCCTCCAAGGCACATCCTTCATCGGGCATTCGTTCCCCCAGTGTCCAAATCTGAGGCAAATGCGGCATTGCCCAGGCTTCAGCTGCGCATTCGGCACCGTGCCCTTCGGCCCGCCGCCCCCGGCGCGAGTGAAGGAGAGAACCATGAGGGTGATGATGTAGATGGCGACGACGATGGTACGAGGGAGTGCCCACTTTCGGGGCGTCGCGGGCGCTTCGGTCAGGGTTCCGATCCCTTCCGCGCCGCACGGGAGCCATTCGAAGCGGCTCAAGTCTAGCCACACACCATTGCTCTCCGCAAGCGCGGCTCCCAGCTGCTTGAACTTCCGCGCGAAATCATCATCAGCTCGCGGGCTACCAAAATCTACCAACACCCTGCCGTCCATTGCCTGCCGGCGCAACACGCCACGTGCTCCTTCCACCTGCACGGCGGTTACGTCAGACATCGGCTCTGTGAGCGCCCCGGTTTCTACGGGCACAAGCCGATCTGCGTGAACCGGCTGTTTGAAGCCAGTCGTTTCCTTCCCTGTTGCTACGTCCCCAAGAATGTAGTTGGACTCCCCTACTCGTTTAACGATCTGGAAGACCTCAAGCCGTGCCTTCGGCAGCAGCTTCTTGGAAACGGTTTGTACCTCGCCGTCGTGCTTCACTGTGGCTGGTGGGCCGCGCAGCAGGACCGCTTGCCCCACCTGCAGCGGCGGCTGGGCCCGGCCACACATGGCCCGAGCGTGCGCTTCCTCTGCGCGCCTCTCCTGGGCAGTGCGCACAAGTTCGTGGATGTGTTCTGTCGCTTTTATGAGCTCTGCCACATATTCCTGGCACGTTACCTTCTCGTTCGCCGGCAACTTCAGGAAGCTTGCCAGGGGGCTCCTGGGTACCAATCCCGCGACCACCTGGTATGGGCTCATTCCGTACAGCGACTTCTTTGCAGACGTGTTCCACGCCCACCTGGCGATTGGAAGCTTCCCACACCAGTCTGTTGGGAACTCCTCCACATATGCCTGCAGCACTTCTTCCATTGGCTTGTGTGAGCCCTCTACAAGACCTTGCGATCGAGGGTGATACGCCGACCCGAAGATTTGCGTCGTGCCGATGAGGCGGTTCAACTCACGAGTGAGCTCGGCGACAAACTCGCTACCGTTGTCGCTCCGGAGTATCATCGGGAACCCGGCGAGGTCCAGATACACGTGGTTATACAGGGCCGTCGCCACAGTCAGCGGCGTCTTGTCGGTGATTGGGACCAGCCACACCCACAAGCTGAAACAATCGATCACTGTCATGATGCACGACTTGTCCTCGCTGACGGGCTCGAGGGGCCCCACGAGGTCGATTTGGAGGACTCTGAAAGGTGCCGTGTAACGCTCGCTGCGCCAGGAAGAGCTACCGTGGGGTTGTCCTTTGATTGTCCTGCAGGAGACACACTTGCGGCACCACGCCGTGCAGTCACGCAGCACCTTGGGCCACCAAGCCACTTCTTGGACCTTGTGCCCCAGTGCGGGCATGCCAACATGACCCCCCGCTGTGCTGTTGTGCATGATGTGGAGCACCCAACTTCTCCAGCTGAGCACCCGCCGGTGTCCGTTCCACGTCACGGCACGAGCACCACCCTCAGGGATGACAGGCACTACGGCTTCATGCCCGTCAGAGCTCCGGACTCTCCTACAAAGCAACCCGTGGACCATGTCGTAATGTGTGACCTCCTTCAAAGTTGTTTCGGCTGTCCCCCTGTCGTGTGTCCGTCGGAGCGTGCGTTCCCCCTTCTCCAGGAGACATATGAATGGGCTCACCTCCTCGTCCTCCTCCTGTGCGGCTCGCAACCTCCAGCGCTCCACATCGATCAAGGACAGCGCCCCAGGGTGCTCCTTCGGAGCGTCACCCTGGCGATTGCTTTTGGGTTGACTCGGAGCCGCCGGCTGCCACGGATACAGACCCGCGCGCCGGGCGTCCGCCACCTGCCGTGGGTCTTTGCGACCCTTGAGGCGGTAAAAATACACAAAATGCGCTTCACCGTCCACCTCCTGAAGGCTCAGTGTCGGAGCCGCTCCGGGTTCCAATCCCGAAAACTAACCACAATATCTTGTCGTGAGTGGATGTGGTGGTTTGTTGGCCGTCGCTCTGAGCCACCTGGAGGGCGCCACCCTTCCACGACACCAGGGGTACAGTGAGTACCTGGTCTACGTCTGATGGCAACTTGCACGGCGACTTGCCACACAAATTCCTTGCGACCGCAACTCCGTCGAAACCGTTTTGGCTGACTACTGGCAGTTCCCACGCATGGGGCAAAGCCTGTCGTAACTCACGGTGGCCCTGGACCTTGTCCACGCCATGGAGGAGGCCGAAAGGACCAGGCGCTCCAAGACGAACGACGACCGTGCGAGCTACTCCCAACAGCGTGGGGTTCATATCGTGGGCCTCCCGCAGCCACGGCACCGATCCGAGGCGGTGAGGGCCATAGGCAGGGTCGTCTGATGACTTCGGCTCGTTTTCGGCCACTGTCAGGTCGCCAATCGTGGGCTTACCCTCCACCAGGGTCACGGCACGGGGCGGCCACGCACCAGGAGCAGGCTCCATAGAGGCAAAGAGCCTACACAGTACACCAATGCTCATGGCATCACCGGCTAACTGGCACTGGACGTCTTGACTGAGAGGCTCCAATTGTCCTAGATCAAGATACCCAGACGGGAACCCGAGCATTTTGGCACGCTCGTTGCCGTTCAGGCACCTCCAATCGTCCTGCTTCCACACCAAAAGGTGCGATTCGTATTGGTATGGGGAGTATCGGTGTTTGTCGTGCTTCCAACGTGCCAGAGCCTCCGGTGAGGTCGTCGCCACACCAGCCGGCTTCGAGGGCTCGGCGTCGGACGGCTGGCAACGAGTGAAGGTGTGGAACCTCCGAGCCTCCTCAGAACCGTCTTCCGGCCACCGGGGCGCGAAGCCGTCCTCCAAGATGGTATCCAGACGTGGCAAAGGAAGTGAAGGATGGAGGTGGCGAAGTCCCTTGGTAATGGTCTCTGCTTCCTCCTCGAAGCGCTGGACGTACCACGTCGTCCACCACAGACGGGGCCGCCTACACCAGCCGAGGCCTACGGAATCCATGGCGACCAACTCGAACGACGGATCTACTTCACGAAGCTCTTGCGTGATACGCTCAACCACGCCTGCCGGCATCGACTGCACATTCTCAAAGAACATGTGGCACACCATTCCGGCCTCCACAGATGAGGCACGCACGGCAGATGCTATGGTTTTCGCATCGTGGAACCGCGCCGTTTCTCCATGGTCCAAGCCACGACGATTCAGGTTCACCCCGGACAACTCTCGGCAGGGGAAGCCACAACCAAGGATAATCAACTCCGCTCCTGCTTCGGTCGCTTGACCAACCCATTCCGACGCGACCTGTTTGGCCTTTTCTGCCACGGGGCGTATGTCTCGGAGGAGCTGAGCGTCAGGGTACCGATCCCCGACGACCTTGCACGCCGACCCGTTGATGTCGACGTGCACGTGGCCAGAAATGTCATATCCAGATGCCACAGCAGCCACGCGCAAGGACGAAATGCCTCCGAAGAGGTCTACGAGGAAGATTTTCGACGGTACCGGTACCGATCCGGTCTCTTCCGCCACGACTTCCGCGGATGTGTCTTCCTCGGCTTCCGGGCGCCCCTCGGCCTTGCGTAGGGGCTGCTTGCCGCGGAGACGCCGCGGAGGGGCCGCATTTGCTGCCGGCTCCTGGTCGCTCACATTTTGCTCCCCCAACTCGCCCTCCTGCAGGCGACTCCATAGAGCCCTGCGTGTTTCCGGCCGCTTGAGATGGCGTTTTGCCAACTGTTCAGCGCGCCGTGTTCCGTACAGCTTTGCGCTGTACCAGAGGCAACGCGCCCCTTCTTGAACAGGCTCCTTTCGTCCGGGTACCGATCCCGACAGGTAGCCTTTCAGACGCCTGGGGAACCAGGCTATGAAGTTGTCCCCGCGGGCATCCGTCTTGCGGGTCACACGCTCTGCCCCCAACAGCTCGTCAGGGAGAGGTTCTGGAGGGAGCTCCACGGCCGGCATCATCAGACAGCTCCAACCAGCTGGCGCCCCAACCTCGTGTGAAGTGACTGGAAGCAGCTCCTCCCCCAATTCCCCCAACCTGGATGTGGCCTCCTCAACGATCCTCCTCCTAGCCTCCCCTAGCAAACTACAGTTTTCGACTGGTCCAAATGCATGGGGAACTTCTGACAATTCGTCCTCTGGCCGCGCCTCGTTCACGAGTTCAGCTTCGGCCAACAATTTGTCTGGGAGGTAAGTGAGCACGCCGGGGTTTTCAATCTTGAGCTGTTTCAAACGTTCGCGCGTTTGTCCTGGCAGCTCGTCAGGTGCCCAAAACAGCCTGTGAATGGTTTCTTTGATTGGCTGCAATGGGATAGGGAGGTTGCGTGCCACCTCGCGGTCGGCAGGTGCACGGGAGACCGCGTCTCCTAGAATGTTCTCGTCTCCAGCCAGATACACCCGCTCTATGAGCAGCGGTTCTATCTCGATGCACATCTTAAGCAATTTCTTCGAGACCCGCCTGGTGGGTTGCATTTTCGACCGGAAGGTGTTGTTCTTATGGTCTGTGAACAAGAACACGCGGAAGCTTTTGGCAAACTTCTGGCTCCATATGGCGCTCTCGTACAGCGCGTGCATTTCCCTCTCCATAGCCGTCCACCTCTGTTGGGTGTCTGTGAAGCTTTTGGACAGCACTGCGATTGGACGAGGGGTGCCATGCACGGAGTCTGCCTGGCACAACACTCCGCTGTATCCAAAGTCGTTGGCGTCGACAAACAAGATGAAAGGACGTCCGCTTTGCACGTAATCGCGCGCAGCCTCGTAATCAGGATTCATCAGAGGCGTGTGAGTGGCAACAGCCTGTCGGAGCTTCGCTGCCGCACCCTGCGCCTTATTGTCCTGAACGTAGTCCTCCCACTTGGCCCCTTTCTGCCTGTACGGTTTCAATGGGGCCACAATAGTGTCGAATCCAGGGATAAACTCCCGAAGGTAATTGGCAAAATGGAACAACGAGCTGACATCGGCTAGCTCGGTCTCTTTTGGCCAATTGCGCAAGGCCTCGACCTTAGACGGGTCCGGTCTCCTGCCTTCTTCAGACATCTCGAAACCTATCAGGACCACCTTCGGTTGGCACCACGAACACTTCGATAATCGCCACTCAACCCCGTGCTGCCGGCCCCGATCCAGCAGCATCCTGAGGTCGGCCAGGTGCTCTTCGAAGCTGTCACTGCCAGTGTGGAAATCATCAACGAAAATGCTCGTGGCTTCCAAGTCCCCGAAGGCGAAATCATTGAATGACTGGCAGATTCCAGGGCCTTGCTTGGGCCCGAAAGGAAGGTACTTCCACCTGTGCAACCCTTGGCGTGTGACGATCGTGAGAATGCGTTGGGTTCTATCCGTGAGCTCAAGTTGAGAGAACCCCCAGACCATGTCCATTGTAGTGTGATATTTGCGGTGGGCTGCCTTTCGGAGCACCTCGTCGGCGTCTGCTGGCACTCCTGGGTGGTCTTCAGTTTCCCTGTTCGGCCCTTCGTAGTCCGTGACCACTCTTCCTAAGACATCTCCCACCTTATCCACTATGAACGCTGGTGAAGCCCATTCTCCGGCATCCTCTGGGGACACGTCATACAGCTGACCAGAAGCGCGGCATTCGTCAAGCCTGTACTCAAGCCGAGCCTCGTCAAACTCGCTCAGCCGGAACGGGCGTCGAGCCGAAGGCTTCGCCCCAGGCTTCGGCGCAACGTCTGCCTTGAAATTCTTTATCTGCGGCGCTGCACAGCCGGGCTCCCAGAAACGGTCAGCGTACTTGTCCAGGATTTCACGTGCGAATATCTTCCACTCCTCAGGTGTCCCCCCGAACTTGCCCTGAGCTACCTCCCGGACGCGTGTCCTCCATTCCGGTGACGACTTATTCCAGGCTTGTCGGGTTGCTAGCGCGTGGCGCTGCTTTTCTATCTCTTCCTGTAGCTTGGGGAACATTGCTGCCCTGTCAGCAGCGCGCCAACGCTTCTTGTAGCTGCCGGAACCCATTTTGCCGATGAGTTCCGGACCCTGGGGCTCCGATCCCCAGATCCGCGGCTGTTCTCCGAGCGCCTGGAGTAGCTCGTGTGCCACTGCGTCCGCGTGACCAGCATCGGCGCCGCGGGAGCGCGAGGACGTGTTCGAGGCGACTGCCGGGCGAAGCTGCTCCCTCAGATATTCTACTCCGAATGCTTCTGAGTTCCGCCGCAAGGCGTTCACCCTCCAGCTGCGGATGGTTCTTTGGTCCTCCCTGTCAGCCTCTGTAGGCTCGTGGAGCTCCGCTATCGTTTCGAAAGTGCCCAGAGCCACCTCGGCGTCTGGAGTCCGAGTAGATACGAATACTTTCACACGGCCGTCTTGGATCTTAGCGGGGCCTTCCGCCACTACGACTTCCGCCGGTAGGTGTGGCGCTCCGCGCACTACCCTGTCCTTGTCGGGGTCTGCGTTGGTCGGGACCCACAGTTCCCGCATTTCTGCGCTGTGGATGATTACGGAATCCGTCAAAACCGCAACTCGTTCACTGTGGTTCTGCAGATCCTGAGGCACCACGCTCGGAATTTCGATGTCGTATGCTCTCAATTCAATACTGTCCCGGGTGCTGCCGTACCACAGGCGGTCTAGAGTTGGACATCCAAGGAGGAGATCAGCTGTGAGACCCTCCATCACGCAGAAAACGATCGGCACGGTAGCTGTCCGACCAGAAGGGTCTTTGAAGACGACCTGGATCACGACTACTTCGTTGTAGGCACTCTGCATGCCCTGGGTTGCCCCTCCAACTTCTCGTCGTTCGCAAGGCATTCTCTTGGAGATCACCCTGTGGTCGCCTAGCTCACCTGTCGCCTGTTTCTGCTCCAAGGTCCGCAAGAACTCTGCGTTGACAGCATTCCGGAAACTGCCAGAGTCAAAGGTGGTCAACACCTTCACGGTACCAACGTGCACGTAAGCTCGCTTATGGTACCCTTGCGGAAGCCTGTACAAGCCATCTTGCATCATATTGAACAGTTCTTGGGGCGAGTCAGAATCGTGAGATTTTCCTGGACGTGGCGTTGTCGGGTGTATGTGTGTATTTGTATTTGGTTTTACTTATTCTTTTGTTTTCAGCTTGGTCATCTATGTGGGGTTTATGATTGTGTGTGTGTGGTTTTCTTGTTGTTGTTTTTATGTTGCTTATTTTTGTTTTGTTTGTTGCTGGTGCATTCTGATGGTTGATGTGTTTGTGGGTGATTTGCTTGTGTTGTTGTTTGTTGTTTGTGTTGTTTGATGTTTAGTGTTGGTGGTGTGTATTTTGGTCAGGCTGTACTTCGAGAGTGGGCCGCATTCGTCATCATCAATTCGTCACGGAAATTGACCAGTACCCACTCAAGTAAAACCAGTTACTGGCCCCGACTTGCAATCTGAGGCGCGTCGAACTACACAACCGGATGCAGATTGCTTGTCGTCTGGCGCCCGGCTCTGCCACTGCACGTGTCGGCCCACTCGGAAGACACGCCGGACGGCTCTCCAGGAGGCAAGTTCCGCTCCCGCCATGCCGGCCGCCTGCTCCAAGTGCCTTGCACAACAGTGCTTCCACCCTGGCCCGTGGTCGGCCTCCAGGCAGCACGGTTCGCCACAAGTGGCTTTCGTGGTAGGGTTGACTACGCAGTTGCAGTCTTTCCGGCACTGCGCGACTGACCATCCCAGCATCGTGGGAATAATCACGACCCAAGTCCACACTACGACGAATAGATCGGCAACGAATGCCCCTACCCGTACCGGGCAGGACAGCAACGCGCCGTCAGGGGTAGGCTGCCTATCCGGCCCCACCCCCACGCACTCCGAAGGCAACAGTTCGACATTTGCCTCGAAGATTCCGTTCCGGAGGGCTCCGATCCCTCCTCCTACTACTGGGGCCATTTGGCCACTGGCTTGGCCGGGGGATCTTCCCTCGCCGGCCTCCGCCCCTCCTGCACGAAGACGTTGACGAAGAGAACCATCTACATGCTCCGCTTCACGACTCAGGCAGGGGACCTGGCAGCGGATACGCCCCACCGCGTCCTGGCCGGCGCAGGCTCCGCACACCAACTGCGCACAGCTGACACACCTAAAGGTGCCGGGCGCACTCACACAAAAACGGCACACTGGCTGCTCGATCATCATGAGCATACTCTCCTCAACCTCCTTCCCCATATCCTGGGCCCTGGAGGATGTGCCAGACGTCAGGCCACAAAGAGCTGGATTCGTCAGGGCACCGATCCCTGGATCACGGCTCTGGCCGCACGGAGCTGGATTCGTCAGAGCACCAATCCCTGGATCACAGCCCGGACCGCAGAGAACTGGATTCTTCGAGGTCCCGATCCCCGGATCACAGCCCTCATAATCCCACGGGTCGTTTTCTGTAGGCATGTGGTCCTCCTCCTCATCAGTATCGACTCCTCTGTCCTCCTCTTCATCACTCGTCTCCGCTCCTCTGTCCTCCTCCTCAGACCTACTACTGTCTACGACGACCACGAGTGCTGCTCCCATGTCCTGGGTCACAGCTGCCTTCTTTGAGGCTGGGCCGCTGTCCGGGGGAGTCATCAGGGTTCCAATCCCTGGCCTTCCGTCCCCGGCGGCCCCTGCAGACACGGCGCGCGCCCCAGCATGGGCGCTCATACCGCCGACCTCAAGTGAAACTTTGGGGCTCAATGTCGCGTTGCGCTCATCGCCCTCCTTTGTGTTTGCCCCGTCAGGGGTGCTCTCAGACTCAGGTGTGCCGGACGCAGCGCGGTAGCAATGCATCAGCGCGCACTTGGCGGCAGCGCTCTCGCTTGCCGCTGCGCTTGGCCCTCCGTGGCGGCCCCGATCCGCCGTGCACTCCGTGATTGCCCACAGAGCGTCTTGGCCGGCGTTGGCCCCAGAAGAGCCCAGAGCGCCCAAGAAGACTCGAAAGTCATCCTCGGTCATCTCGTGCAGCTTATCCTTTCCCTTTCCTTCTCCTTTTCCTCCTTTCCCCTCCTTCCCCTTCTTGCCTTTGCTGTCTCCTTTGCCCCCCTTTCCTCCGTCCTTCTTGGGCCCCCACCTCTGGAGGGCAATCTTGTGCTCCTCCCACGAGTGAGATCCTCCACACTCTGTCTTTCTGGCATCAACCCACATTGCGCACTTGACGCCGGAGGCTTTGTTTTGGGCAGCAGTGCCCTTCTCTTCTGCTATCTTGTTCGGGCAATGCTCCTTGCCCCTCAGTTTCTCTAGGTGCTTGCCCCCGCACGTGTAGCAAGTTTTCGTTGCCCAGTCAGTCCCGGCGTCCGGGCCCTTGGGGTTCGAAGCTCACGGCGGTGCCTTGTGGGCAGGGTGGGGCGTTTTTGTCTTCGTCGTTTCTTTCTGTTTCTTTGGCTGTTCCCCCCCTTTTTGTTTTCTTTATTTTTTTTTTTTTTTTTTGTTTATATTTTTTTTTTTTAGTTTTTTTTTTTGCTTTTTTTATTTGTTTTTCTTTTTTTTTTTTTTTTTTTTTCCCTTTATTTATTTTTTTTTTTTATTTTTTTTCTGTTTTGTTTTCTGTTTTTCTTCTTATTATTTTTGTTTCATTTTTTTCTTTTTTTTTTCTTTTTTTTTTTTTTCTTTGTTTTTGTTTTTTTTTTTTTATTTTTTTTTCCACCAGGCCGGGACAAGGCTTGCGCAAAGCCCCCTTTCTGAAACAGACTCTGGAGGTACTCAACTGGAACCGGCACGGTTCCAGGGGGAGCCAACGAAGAGTTGGCCTGGGCTTTTGGAGCAGCTTGCGGGTTGGTGTTGTTGCCGCTCCCCTGGTCGCGCAGCGACTGCACCTGTTCTCGGCGCTCGCGCCTGGTCAGGTTGGGCTGCCCAGCCCGCTCCTTCTCTGCCCAGCGCCGGACAGTGTCGTGCATGTCCGTTAGCGTCTGGGGCTGCTCTGACACAGGCAATCCCTTGATGTATTTCTGGATCTCTGGTGCGAGACGCGACTTATAGTCGAACAGACGCATCGTGATTGCGATGGGAGTGTTTTCCACCAGTTTCGCTCTGAGCTGCAAAAGATACGCATGCTTGTAGTCCTGAATGAATTTCTCAGCGCCGCCGGGGCCGCTGTTTGCTGGCATACGCACCTTTTCCATCGCAGCCATTGCGATTTCCGCTTTCTTTTCTGGGGTGAGGGACACTGTTTTCTCGAGAACAGCGATGAGATACTCGTACAGGTTTTTCAGCGTTGGTTCACTCATCTTGCTGATCGTGTCTGGGCTGATTCCGCGTTCTTCGAGCTCTAGCTCTACGGTCTCTCTGGCCCTGCCGTCCAAGGCAGGCCTGAAAACAGCCCATTTCTTGCGGTACGTTTTGTAACCCAGTTCAGCATACACGTTCTCGAGGACTACTTCTTCGTGAAGGAGCCCTTCGGCCGACTCGGCCTTGACCGTTGGACGTTTTCGCTCCCACTTGAGCGTCGACCCAGACTGCTGCTCCTGCATGGCCGTAACCAGTGCAGTGACCGACCGGGCCATTACTTCAATGGGATCCGTCGAACCCACACCGGCCTCTGGGCGCTGGGGCTCGCCGCCGCCTGTCGCGACGCTGTGGTCCAGCTCTGAGGCGAGGCGCCGGACGGCCCGGCTCTCTGGTGAAAGCGTCGGTCCGCCTAGCTGCTCAGGCGGCGCTCGTGCGCCGAACCGTGGAGTCTGCGGCGTTGGAGGTACCGATCCTCCTGGCTGGCCCCCGAAGGCCACGGGCCCCCCAGCGGCGGCGCCAAGGTCTCCGCCAAGCGCGGCGCGCCGCTCCGCCAACGACGGCGTGCCGGGCAAACGCCCTTGAGCGTACTCGCTGTAGTATGGCCCCCTCGCTGGAGTGCCGGGCGCGCCGCCGAGGCCAGGCGGGGTTGGAGGCAGAGAAGCCCTCCAGGCCCGGAGCCGTTCGAGTTCGGCTTTCTGTTGCTGTTGTTGGGCCTGGTGTTGGGCCTCCAGGGCCCGAAGTTCTTCGAGCTCCTGCTGTTCTGCGGGGTCCAATCCCGCGCTTGCAGGCAAGGCCTGGTTCATGGCCGCCAAAGCGGCCGCTGCTGCCGCGTCAGCCTCTGCAGCTCCTCGTGCTGCTGCCATTTCTGGAGTCTCGTCCCAGCGGCTCCTTCGACCCACAACGGGGCCGTAGCGACCAGCAGCCGGGGCTTCTGCTGCCCCTCCCAGGGCGTCGGCAAAGCTGTCTGCCGAGGCTCCGTCGTCGTCCGCTGTCGGGGCTCCAATCCCCGCTGAGTGAGCAGTTCCCGGAGCAGCCCCCAGTTGTTGGAGCGGCGCCCTAGGAGGGCCCTCTCCTGGTTCGGTCATTGCTCACCCTCTTGGCTATTCTGCTCCCTCCCCCTGTCTCCCTGGCTCTCTCTCTGGCCGCCAATCAAGAGAAAGAATGACAATCAAGAGAAAGAATGATAAGAGGGAAGAGTAAGTAAAGAGGTAGGGTAAAGGAAAGATGCACCCTTTTCTGACTCCGCTCGGAGCCTTGAGCCAAACGTGCCATGGGAAGCAATGCAATTATGCATGCACCCTCTGTTCGCATCTATGCTACACTGCACTGCTCGCGGTACACATGCTGTCGGAGAGACGCAGAAGAGACAAGAGGGGCACGCAAGTACGCTGCGCTTATTCAGCTTCCGGGGATAGGGGGCGCAGTCAATTGCCACTAACGCGCCTTCGCTGCGGGCCAGGAAGTGGAAGGTCACAGTCACAGCTTCGTTTCGAGCGAAGAACAAGAAGTGGCAAGCATTGCCCTGGCTCGGGCGGGGGCCATCGCAGAGGAGGGCCTGGTTGATAGTCCAAGGGAGGTGCCTTCCGTGTTTCCTCCTGGCGCGCGCGCAGCAGCATGCCTCAGGGCGCGTGCCGACTGCGCCTGTGCCCCTGCATGCGTGAGCACGGAGCGGCCGACCCAGCGACAGGGCTGGTGTCCGCCGAGCAGTGCGCCCCCCCTTTTTTCCC